ACCGCCAAACTTTTTTTCGGGCAAGCTGATAACTCGAGTACCTCAGAAGCTAAAGGACTGTAATTTTAAGAGGATATATCCCGTCCAACTGAGTTTCATTCAGCTCAAACCTGTTCTCGGGTATGCGTGTTAAACTCGTACGGGCCCACTAAACTTTTTTTTCCAGTAAGTTGCTAACTCAGGAGCCAGGACAGCTGGAAAGCTGAAATTTCAGGAGGGTGTTTTCTGACAGTTCTGGCGGCCAGTCTTAATTTGTTCAGCTAGAAGCATTTGCCGAAAAAGCCGGTACCGGTAGCAACAAAAACTGCGGGGGAACTATGCAAAAAACGCATCTTCGCACGGGCAGCCCGTGCGTTGGCCAATTATTTAAATTTGCAGTATGGTGAAGGATCCTTCGAAATTAATGGGCCAAACAAACTCTAGTGTCTAAAAACTCATTCTGCACTTCCGTAAAATGTTTTTTGATGGTCGATAACTGTTCCGCAGAGAAAACCCCCTTTTTGAATGTTTTCGTGCAAATTTCTCGTTCAGTAAAGTCACGTTTTTTTGGACTTCCCACCAAATGAATGATGTGCAGGAGAACCAAATAATAATGGTACATAAAAAAATCTGGCAGCTACGAAAAATGATGCACAGTGAGCATGAAAACAGGCGAAGTAAATCCTTTCAAATACAAAAATGGAGCAAAACCTCCTACGAACTGAAAACTCTTATACAAAAATTGTTATTACAAAAAAAATAAATAGCAACGCGCACCAGCCTAGCTGGTACGATCACGCGTTTTGTGCAATTCAACCCATCGAACGATTGCCTATTAATGATTTTCACTGCTTTGTACTCTTGCCTATGCAAAAATAGTTCAAACATTGGAAAACAGTTAAAAATTTCACGCACCAGCGCATGGAAGCTGAATTCGAAACATTGAAGGGTGAATATCTTTATCCCGAGTTAATAGTTAACCCGCAAAAATTTTCACGCGGTCGTAGGTGATACTGAAGAGCGCGGGAACGCTGAATTTGAGTAGGCAAGGCTGAGTGTGGCAGGGGGTCATTACCCTGAAATTTAAGCTTCCTGGACCCGTGTTTCCCAAGATAATAATTTACCCGTCAAAAATTTTCATGGGGCCATACTTGTTACCCGCGGGTACGGGGAAGCTGAATTTAAATTTGCTGGGTCACACGTGGGTGGGGAACGTTCC